ATGTATCTTTTTTAATTATGTTTAGAACAAACCTATGAAGTAGGTGCTATTATCTTTCACGTTTGTTAAGTGGATAAAATAAGTCAGCATTGGTAAGTGAATTAAGCCATTAAAACTATGCTGAGATTGTAATGGAAGTTTCTGGTGGTACAGTCCAGATTCTTCTTCATAATTTGCAATTTTATGTCGCATTATGTACACTGCATCTCAGAATAAATATCCTACTCCACAAAATATCCAGGGGATTCAAAAACTATCTATCTTCTTGAGCAACACATTATACTTCATTTCTCAGAAAAGGCCACAGGACTTAGGTTAATCATGAAATCACAGGTAAGCAATTTTGCTTTTGTAACTATTTTTAAGAAATTGTAACATATTCTTTACATCCCTTTATCCCTCCCTTCAGCTGAATCAGAAGGGGCTCTGTGACACATTAAAGCACAACCTCGATTTTGGAACCTGATCACTTATTGGAGAGAAAGTTGGTCCTGCTTTCTTCTAAGAAAAAACTATCACTGTAAGGCCATTTATCACTCTTATTTAATACTAAGGTTGGTCTACCATAACCAATACACCTAGGTTTTTCATTGAATTGTTTTATATTGTTTGTGTCTTGTGTCATTCTCGTTTGTTGTCTCTATCGTTTTCTGTATCTCTAGCTTTCTTTTTTTTCTTGTTTTTTTTTGTTTTTGTTTTTTTTTGTTTTTTTTGATGTCGATGTTTCTTGGTGTATCGTTTTGCTCTTTAATGTTCATTGTGTATTGTCTTGATGTATATCCCATGCTTCTTAGCATGATATTATGAGATTTTTTTTGTTTCGTCTACTTAATTAATATTAGAATATGGTAAATTATATTTTTTTGTTCAATTAAATAATTATTTTTTATATTAGTTATTTAATTTATGCTGGTCATATTTTGGTTGCTTATTGTTTTCCCTTTGTTTTTTTATTGGTCCTCATTTCTTATTTTCAGGAGGCTGAGGCGAAGGATCGTCTGAGCCCAGGAGTTTGAGGTTCCTGTGAGCTAGGCTGATGCCACAGCACTGTGGCCCGGCAACAGAGTGAGACTCTGTCTCGAAAGAAAGAAGAAAGAAAGAAGAAGAAGAAAGAAGAAGAAGAAAGAAGAAAGAAAGAAAGAAAAGACGAGAGGAGAAAGAGAAAGAAAGAAAGAAAATAATGTTTTGATATTTGTTACCTATTTCTTATGTAATCCAAATTGAGAATTATACTTTGTGGGAGTATTTCTCAAGATGATACAAGAGGTATTGTTTTTATTTATCTCTCTTTATTTTATTATTCACCATATATTCTTATGAATTTTTTTCAAGTGCTTTGTGAAATGAGATGAGAGAGAAAAAGAAAGGAAGGAAGAAAGAAGAGAGGAGAGGGGAGAGAGAGAGAGAAAAGAAGAAAAAATTTGAGTGATGAAAGAGGAAAGAAGGGAACAGGTTAGACACAGGTGATGATCTCATGGGTGTAACTGAGGAATGTGAAAAATTCTGCAGGTTGGCCAACACAACCCATTCCCAACCCTTTAATCTTAGTTGTTTCTACTATAGGGACATAAATGTGAAATATTTTCTTAGTCTGCTTTTCTTAGCTGCCACTTCAGAAAGCGGTGAGTCATAACGGAATCTGCGTGTTTTTCTGGGAAAGATTTAGCAGCTTAGGATGAAAGGGACGATGAAGCTGCCCTGCTTGCTTTTCCCATCTTCCTTCTCTCTGCCCTGAATAGAAACGGATATTTGGATTTGGGATGCTGTCTTATGACCGGATGTGAGAAGTCTGAAAAAACTCTAAGAAACTCTGGAGATGTCACTCAAGACATAACTGAGCTGCAGCCTCTGCCTCAGTCTTCTATAGTGAAAAAGAAATCCATACTTCTCAGCTGCTTTTAACTGGGATTCATTTTTCATACTGAAAGTTCATATTTTGACTTAGGAATATTAAAGAGAAGACAGAGTCTGAGAGGAATGGAATTACGTGAGTGGTTAAACGTCAGGGGCAGGTAATTTGAGTGTAATGGCCCAGGGATGGTGCATGAAACGCAGAGCTATTTGGTGGAGGGAGAAAATTACTTGGAGCATCTCAAGATGCATCTGAGAACCCAGATATAGGGCTATTTCTCTGTTGTAAGAGTTGCCTGCAGCTTTCCTTGGCAGTGATAGCTGAGTCGAGCAATGGTTGAACATCACTAGGATAGTAATGCAAAGAACAATGGGAATCTGCATTAGTGGGTGTAGAAAAGGAGTTCTTACAGTAAACAAGTAATGAAACATAGAGGAATATGGAGAGTAGAGCAGAGCTCCAAAAGATGGGATTGGCCACAGAATATAAATTATACAACTTTAAGACGAAATAAAACCACCTTCAAACTGATGTCTCTTGCCACTTGCTGGACTGCCCTTGTGATACAGTTCTCTAATCTGACCTTATGTTTAATTTTCCTTGCTCCCCCTCTTGCTACATCTCAGGCTTTGTCCTCAGTTAAGGAAGCTTCAGCATCTTCAATTCGTTATGGGATCAAGGTCACACTATCAGTTGTTCTTTTCACTAATTCATTCATTTTTTCTTTGATGACCACTGGAAATGCAGTATTTTTTTTCTTTCCTTCAACTCAATTTCTATACCACTTGCAACCAAATCAGGAAAGACAGATATTCCATAGAAAATGGGCAAGATACTTGAAACAGCATTTCATAAAAGAGATCCAGAAAGCCAATAATATTTAAAAATTCTCAACCTTATCAATAATCAAGAATTGCAAACTAACTCCATACATTACCTCTACGAACTAATCGAATACTAAAATTATACACTGAAAATAGTAACTATTGGTAAGGGATATAGGCAAAAGAAATGCTATATATGCTGGTAAGAGTGTAAGCCAATTGATACAGCCTTTTTGAAAATTGGCTGTATTGATAGGAATGAATATATGCATACCTGATGAGACAGGAATTCTACTTTGGATTGGAGCTGTTCATTCCTATTTTCATTTATTTGATTGAGAGTTCCATAGAGATTTGACCTGGTAGGCACTTACATTTTTTAAGTGAAAGAAAGCTTGCAAACACTTCAACGAATGGTTTAGCAATTAACAGTAGTAATAAAGAGTTACATATAAAACCTAGATAAACAATTTTGTTTTGCTTTTCAATGGGAAATAAAAAAAGCTTATATCTGAGCCACTTCATAACTTTGTATTCATTGAGGACAAAGAATGGGAAGAACCAGGATTTAACAGTGGAGGATGTGTGCCAGTCCATTATGTTTTATACTCTTCAACTCACAATGAATTTATGGTGAGGTGGCTACTACCCAAATTAGCACTTTTGAAAACAAAGAGGCAAAAAAGTCAAGTGACTTGCGCCAAGTTACATGACAATTAAATGACTCGGCAAGACTTGAACCTCAGAGCGTGTATTCCAAAACCTGTGGTCTTTCTTGTCTTATCTTCCTTCTCGTTATCTATGGAAGGTTAATGAGACATGCCTATGTACGAAGGGGACAGGACTGCTGATTCTTG